CCATTCCTATCAATCAATCATAGAAAGCCTAGCTCATGATAGCCCGTCTCATGTTGGATCCTCTCCTTAAGCCTCTCCTCTAGCTATTTTCCATACCTCAAACCGTCTTTCTAATTTTCAGCCACTTCAATCTCTTGCTTCATCATGCCTTTAGCCACTATCACAACATTCTCTCAAACAGCCCTCACACAAATGTAGTTTATCCGACCACCTCACCACCTTTTTCATTGATTTGGTAGTTGTTGGCATCTTTTAATTAGTGGTGCTATATTTGGTTCGTGAGCCAGGGTTAGGTGACTCGAAATTGATACATGTCGAAATTGCTTGATCCGAATCTAATCCGAATATTAAAAAGGCTAAAAAAATTTAACCCAAACATAACCCACTTTGAACTCATTGACCCTACCTGTATAACCCGTTTAACATAAGACACCAATTATTTGTGTCAGAATGAGGTCAATTTTGAGTCAATTTTGGGTTGACGGGTTAAGTTTGAGTCAATTTCAGGTTGGAGGATCGATTTCGAGTCAAGTTCGGATAAGTGAGTCAATTCTGGTCAAATTTTTGGTTGGTGGTCAAATTGCGGGTTGGTAGGTCAACTTGAAACCGACCAAAAAAATTAAACTGGTTAGGATTCCTAACAAAAACTCGACCCAAAATTATTCAGGTCAACCCTAACTTAAATTTCTCAGTCCAGTTCGGGTTGAGTTAGCATGTCGGGTCAATTATTAACACCCCTATTCTACTCCCTAACTTAATTGCTAGAGACCTTCACAAATGTCATCTCCTTCTCATATAGTGCCTACACATGATCTTCTTTGTCATCCATCAGTACATCTGCAACATCTTGTACCAACCATCGCCACAACATTTTTCGCCAACATCAGTCTTTTCACTGCAGCCTCTTGCACACATCTACTTTAGTACATACTCCATCTTTATGCTCTCTTTTTCAATTATGCGTTTCACTCCTGAATCTGCACTCATGTCAATACTTGCATCCTCGTTTGCTTGCTCTTATCAATTTCTCTAATTTCTCACTCTGTTGTGCTCTCTAACATTGCAGGCATGTTAGAGCCTGTGTCACGACTTCATGTCACATTATCTTGCACGCCATAAATTTTTTAATTACAAATATCATCTGAATTAAATAAAAATTGCAAAACAATGAAAGAAATAAACAGGTCAAGTTCTAATAATTAGTTTTTCTGTGAGCTTGACTCAATTTAGACGTATGCATGAAGACTTCTAAGCTTCCAGATATTTTTTTCAGCTAATATCATTTTCTTTGTCTGGATAAAGAGTATCTTCTGTTGATACTGTAAAATATAGTGATTTTATACATTCATCTTCTTGTCTTCTCGATTGTCTTTCCATTCATCTCTCCTATTTGTGATGGATTTCAGTAGGTCCACGTACTAATTGAAGAAGTCCAGTTTTCTCTCCGCCAACATTTAAATTCTCCACATAAAAGGTATTTGATGCAGCGTAATTTTTTTGGTTAGTCTATTTTGTGTTTGTCTATATTTGTATTTAATTTAATGACTATGTAATTATTGGGCATTCTGTAAATTTTAAAACATTTGTATGTTTGCTTTTGGTTATGAGTCTATTTATGTTTGTTTTTATTTGTATTTTAATTAATTATTAGCATAACTATTGGGCATTTCACTAATTTTAAACTTATTTTATGTATGTTTCTTTCGTATTAGCCTTTGTGTATTTTAAGCAATATTACGAGTCTTAGTCCATATAAGGGCTCCAGCCTTGTATTAGTCATTTGACGATGAGTTATTGAATAAATAATTGAGCTATTGAAGCCTCTCTATAATTTTCTCTCAGCCATCTCTAATGTGGGGTTGGGATGGGGGGATTGAACCGACCCTTGTCTGGTCCCAACCTTCTGATCCGGCCGACCCCCATAAGGGGTGGAACCTGCCACGCACATATTCCCTTCCTTTTCTGTTTGCCCTCCTATTCCCCTTTCTTTCCCTTTACTATCCTTTTCTATTTCTTGCCTATTCCATGCCTCCCTTTTCTATTTTCTTTCTTATTTTGAACCTTACCTATTTTGCTTACTAATCTATATTAATTATATGTGGTTTTTTGCTTAGGTTAGAGGTTGTTGATTTATGTTTTTGAATTCATAGTCTGTCGTTGTCGTATTTTCCTTTCGAGGGATGTATCAAACGATAAGAAGGTGCTCCGGCTGTAACTTATCTGAAATGGTGACTACCTCTGTTGTTCCTCAGCTTTTGGCTTGGTTTTTGTTTTGGTCTAGTTCAACTTTTGGTAATTAGCTTATGGCCTTGTGTGCTTTTGTAGATTGTTCCTGTTTTCTTGCAGGCATGTATGTTACTCTTCCTTTGACAATTTTTTTTTGAAAAAGACAACTTTAATTAGACACCCCACGTTGTCAAAGCAAGCACAATAAATTTGAACTCCCCTTTCCAAAAAAAAATAAATAAGTAAATTTTGAATTGAGTCCATTTATATTTATGGTTGATTTTTTATACAATTCATAGGAAAAATTAGGGCAAATAATATTTTGTTATAAGTAGGGGTGTAAAAGAGACGAACACGAGCGAGTCCAGGCTCAGCTCGTGTTCTGTTCGTTTGTATTTCGAGCTCAAAAGCAACTCGTGTTCTGTTCGTTTGTATTTCGAGCTCAAAAGTGTGTTTGTGTTCGGCTCATTTGCTTAGCGAGTCGAACACGAGCTATTCACGAACAAAGAGTCGTTTTGTCGACCCTAATCACGTAGTCATAAGATATTAAGGGTTGAGGCAATATTTAAAAATTATTGTTTATATTAAAATTTTATTTGAATCTAATTTAATAACTTTTATTCTATTTTATTAATTAATACTTTTAATTTATTATAAATCTTTGTAGCCTTGTAGTCAATTAAATTTTTAAAAATACTGCTCATCAATAGATAGATAGATAGTTAAATATAGTTGATGAGTGGTATATCGAGCCAAAACGAGCCCAACACGAACGAACAAATCTTTGTTCGTGTTTGGCTCGTTAACATAGCGAATGAGCCTAACACGAGCTTCTTAACGAGCCGAATACGAGTTGTTCGCAAACAACGAGCCGTTTTGACAGCCCTAATTATAAGAATCTTAAACATTCAAAGATGAATACAAAGATAAGCACTACAGTTCGAGTGGTAGGCGATCATTTCCAATTCCTACAATTCCAAAGGTCGTAAAATCTCTCCCAAACCCTAAACTAAGAGTCTATACATTATCTCATACATAACCCTAACCTTAAACATATTAGCTCTATTTATACTAAGCAATAACCAATAACAAATGACGAAAGACCAAATTGCCCTTAGGCGTATAAAAGTCAAAAGTGCCCTTAGGCTAGGTGTCGGTGTAGCAATTTTTTAAATTTGCTTTATTTTACTAGGTTTATTTTATCTTAAATGGAATAAATTTTAAATTTAAGGTTTGTTGATTTTGAAATGATCTGTATTTAATGCTTGGCTTGGTATTCATAAGCTATAAATTTTGATCCATGTTATGTGATTGAATTATTAATATTGAATGATATCATTTGTGGCAAATTTAGTGCTTTCTACTTTCTGCTGTTTACTCTGATTACTCCAAACATTAAGTGTGAAGTTTCTTCCTTTCCCGTAGTTCGAAGATGTTGAAAATCATAGAGAAAATATTGTGAACCATTTTATCTTGGTTTGACTCCATCGGTTGCTTTATGTATAACACTTATGAGAAGACAATCCATGAAGAAAACGTTAATTTATCTATATAACAAGTCTAAAAAATGCTCCAATCTTCTTTACCACCTAAAGAATAAATGACAAATACATGCATGTTTAGCAACGATAAATACTACTGTTTTCTTAATCACTAGCAATATATGGTATTCGTCCTAATTGGGATTGAAACCTTTGATCTTCTAATTTGGGCCTTTTAATAATTGTTTTAAACTTTGGCTGTTTTCCTGCATAAATCCCTCCCACTTGAAGTGAACTCATCTTGGAGTTGTCTGTGGAACTTTGGTGAGGGTAAAAAAAGTTCTGTGGTACATCTCCTAACAACAATATAAATTGCAATCAAAGCGTTTACTAGATGAATTGTGAGACGAAAGCTATGAAAATAGTATAACCTACTTTAAGAATTAGTTGTAAATGGTGGAAGTACTGAAAATGTCCCATCCAACCTCCACATCAAGAATAAGCTAAATCCCGGTTTCAGTGATAAATTATGTTTGTACTAATCTGGTTCAAATAAAATTTAGTCTGCTGGTACTCTTTAGGCAAAGCAAAAAATGGTTATCATCTTTTGTTGGTGGAATTTGTAATTTAATATTTGTTCATCTTGATAAAAAGAGGATTATTTTACATCTACAGGCAACAGAAAGATTAGTAGGACCTACTGAACTCCCAATCCATCATACTTGGTGATTCATAATATGCATAGTTTCCTCCACGCTTGGCGGATATAAGATTTGCGAAGAATAAGTTTTACACCTCATACAACATTAAGCAAAAATGAATGGAAAGGATTCATAACAGTGACACCAAATAGTTGAGATAAGGCTAGTAATGATTATGATGATCATGATTATCAGAACACATAAATGATTGCATCCAAATCTTGGAGTTCAAAGTATATTTCCCTCTCTTATTCAAAGTTTGATTGATGTTATTTATGTTATTTACCAAGATGTCTAGAGGCTCCTCATTGGTGTATTTTATTTCTTGTCAATTATTTAAAGCGTTTAGAAATTAATTGTGGAGCCATTGCCTTGCATATCAAACATTTTTTAAAAGTTGTGGAGCCATTGCCTTGCATATCAAACATTTTTTACTTGAGGCACTGAATCTCATGAAACTGACGAATTTCAGCACATGTGCCCATGTTTCTTGGCTGTTTTTTTTTCCTGTCCACTGCTAAATTGTATGGTTTCTTTCATTTTCCTACTTTAGAGACAAATATTCCGTTTAAAGGATTTCTAAATTGATCAGGTCAATATTTCTTTGTGGCCCCGTTTCAAGATGATCTTTGACATGCATCTCAACAGTTTACGCTATGCCAATGTGAAGACATTATGGGAAGATGATGTTCATCCCCATTATGTTATGAGGCGCTATGCTGAATTCACAGCATCCCTTATTCATTTAAATGTTGAATATGGAGACGGCCAGGTATGAGTCTGATTTTATTAATTACGCGCTTGCTTTATTCAATTTTTTGTGGTAATCGAACTTTTAACATGGATTGCTAAAATTTATGAGCCTTTGAGCCAGTATAGACTTGCTAAAAAGGTTCTTTTCTTTTCCCTAATTGTTATATTAGCAATGTTTTAAAACGTCTTTATTTGTTCCTTGAAGCTTGATCTTAGCCTGGAAAGGCTACGGATGGCAGTGGAGGATTTGCTTGTTAAGTTGGCTAAAATGTTTGCGAAACCAAAATTGCAAACTATTTTTCTAATAAACAACTATGATATGACAATTTCGATATTGAAGGTAAAAGAAGGCTTTATTTAGTGCCAAGTCTTTTTTGTTTTGAAGACAGCTTTATTACAAAGCAGCATTTTGAAATTGCTGAAATTTTTTATAGGAAGCTGGTGCTGAAGGCGGGAAAATGCAAATCCACTTTGAGGAACTGCTAAAGAGCAACATAGCTGTATATGTCGTAATGTTCTCTCTCTTGAATGCTAAATGTGTTGATTTTCTCGTCTAGTTATGTAATGCAATATAAATTTCTAAATTTTAGAAAAATTAGCTTAGCGGGATTCATTGTTTCAAATAGTTAGTTGCTGCATATTTTTCTTATAAGAATGGAGTGCTGTTTTTTATGAGGCAATTCACCAGCACATGATCTTCATGTTACAAGAGTAGAGCTCTCATTTTTTTATGCTCATAACATTTTAGATATGAGTTTTCCACATTATGCATGTTACATCGACGTAGATGTAGTATTAAATAAGCAAAAGTTCTCACATTATGGATGGATGCATGCAAAGAAGTTAGTCTTTAATACTAATATAAGGTTGAGATCTTAAAATATACTCATAAGCAACTAAATGAAATTATTAGATATATGATCCAGAGAAAGATAAATTTCTTATGAATTCGAGAACTAAATGTGTTGGAGAATATGTTTAGGTGAGTGATAACTTAGGGCCTGTTTGGGATCACTTTCTGTTTTTTATTTAGTTCTTGTTTTTAGTCTGTTTTATTTTTTGTTTCGTTTTATATTTTCTATTTTTAGAAAAACGTATTTGATACTGTTACGATTTACATGTTTTTTAAAAATAAAAAATATAAAATATGTTTGGTAGGGTATTTTTATTTTCTTAAAAAAAATTTTATATTTTTTTATAAAACATTTGGGTTCACGTGTGCTCCGATAGTAAGTTCTGCCGCCCATGACATATACGACATCTTTCTTACTCCATGTAGTACAACGCATTACCTATGGGTAGGCTGGCGACGGGCGGGCGGCTGCCGACTGGGGAAAGTAGTGGCGGCGGTGACAAGGGCAACTAGCGGCATCGGCGGGCGGTGGACAATAGGAGTTGTCGGCCAGGTGCCAGTGACAGGCAGCTGGCGGCAGTTTGCAGCTTGTGGGACTCACTGTTTTCGGTGTTTTAAAAACAACAAAAACATGTTTTTTTTCTGTTTTGAGTACTTTAAAAATTGAAGTGTTACTCCAAAAAATTAAAAACAAAAATAAAACAAAAAACAGAATAGCAAACACTGTTTTTTTTTCCTTATTTTTTGTTTTCAAAAACAAAAAACAGAAAACAGAAATTGATCCCAAATAGCCCTTCAAGTTTTAAGCTAGCAGTCGTGCTAGAATGACGTTGGTGTAATTATAGATAAGAGTTTAAAAGATAATAGTGTAAAAATTAATAGAGAATTGAAGATGTATTTATAGTCATTATGATTGTTGTTGATAATAAGATTTTTAATGTTATAAGGGTTTATGCTCATCAAGTTTAGATAATATGCTTAAAAAAATGAAATAACTTAGAAGAATTAATACAAATGATACCACTAGAAGAAAAAATTTCTATTGAAGGAGATTTAAATTGATATATTGGTAGAGTGCTAAAAGATTTTAGAAATATTCATCATGGTGGTTGCAATTTTGGAGTGATTAATGAAGAAATTAGAATCATATTTGATTTTACTTTTGCTTATAATTTTGTTATTGTTAATACTTTATTTTAAAAAAAAGATGAGCATATTATTACTTATAAGAATTGATTTAATAAAATCCAAATTGATTATTTACTTTTGAGAAAAAGATTTTGTCGAGAATATAAAAATTGTAAGGTTATTCAAAGTGAAAGTTTAAGTACTCAACATCAATTATTAGTTTTGAATTTAGGTTATTCAAAGTGAAAGTTTAAGTACTCAGCATCAATTATTAGTTTTGAATTTTATGATGAAAAGTTGGAAATAAAAATATAATGAACATTGTCAGAATTATGTGAACATTTAAGAATAAATAAAAGTATTTTTATGAGCAAACTTCAAGATTTCAAAATTTGGGATGCTCATAAAAAAGTCAATTCTATGTGAAATATAGTAATGAACACTATTAAATAAGTGACAAAAGATGTATTTGAAGAATTAAAAGGAAAAATTTTTATTAATAAAAATGGTTGGTCATGGAATAATGCGCAAGAAATTATAAAATATAAAAAGTTTTTTATAAAAACTAGTTTAAATGTAAAAAGCTTAAAGAATTGGAAAAAAATATGTGGTCTGTAGGGAGTTTAAGAAAACTATTTGTGATGCTAAAAATTTAATTTATAGTAATCTTTATAAAAGATTAGATACGAAAGTGGGTAAAAGTACATGTATAAACTAGCCACACAAAAAGGAAATAAAATGTATTAAAATGAAAATAAAAAAGTAATTTTCTTAAATCAAGATGTTTAACATAGGTGGGTGAGATATTCTGATAAACTTTTCAATGAATTTTTTGAAAATACAATGGACTTCAACGATCTTAATATCGTTAATAGTAATAAAACTTTTTAATTTTTTATCATCGCATTAGTAAAAAGGAAGTTGAAGAGGCTTTAAAGCAAATCAATTGTGGAAAATCAGTAGGATTCGATGGTATCCCAATAGAAATGTGGAAGTATTTAGGAGATATGAAGATTTTTTAACTTGCTAAACTTTTTAAAATTATTTTAAAAACTAAAAAGAAGGTGAATAGGTATTTTGGTCCCCATTTAAAAAAATAAAGGTGATGCACAAGAGTGCAAATTATAGAGTAATTAAGTTAATGTTTCATACGTTAAAATTATATGAGAGAGTAATTGAACATAGGTTAAGACATGATACAAAGATTTCCCATAATTAGTTTGGATTTATGTCAAACAAGTCTATTATAGAAGTTATACATTTATTGGGAGATTTTGATGGAGAAGTGAAGAGAGAGTAAGGAGAATCTACATATAATTTTTATTGATTTGGAAAAAGCTTACGATAAGATTCCAAGAGAAGTCCTTCAGAGAGTTCTAGAAAAGAAAGATGTTGATATGACTTATATTCAAGTCATTAAAGATATGTATCTAGAGTTGTTACTTCTGTTCAAACAGGAGGATTGACCAAGTATTTTTCTATTTCAGTTGGATTACACCACGAATTGGCCTTAAGCCCATATCTTTTTGCTATAGTTATGCCCCGGATTGGCCTTAAGCCCATATCTTTTTGCTATAGTTATGGATGCTCTTACTGGACATTTACAGGAGGTTATACCTTGGTGTATGATTTTCGTTGATGATATCCTTTTGGTGGATAAGACTAGAGATAGAGTTCAGGAGAAGCTTAAATTATATATATTTGCTTTAGAGTCTAAAGGCCTTCGTTTCAGTAGATCTAAAACTGAATATATGAAATGATCTAATGACAGAGTTGTAATAATGGGTGATCAAAATCTAATGACAGAGTTGTAATAATGAGTGATCAAATCATTAAAAGGAGTGAATGTTTTAGATATATCAGGTCTATCGACAAAAGTGATGGTGATATAGTGGGAGGTGTTATTAGTAGAATTCAAGTTGGATTATTGAAGTTGAGGAATGCATCAGGCCTATTGTGTGATAGAAAAGTACCACTTAGACTTGAAGGAAAATTCTAGAAGATGGTGGTGAGACCAAGTATCTGAGATGAGAATGCTTAGGTGAATGAGTGGCTTTACACTTAGAGACAAAATGCGAAATGAATATATCCATTATAGCTCTAGTGGCAAACAAGATTAGAGAGAGTCGTCTTAGATGGTTTGGTCACATTAAACGTCGACAATCTGACGATTTGGTTAGGAGAGTAAATTTTTTATATTCGATTTATGTTAAAAAAAGTAGAGGTAGAACTAAAAAGACTTAGAATTAAATGAAATAATACATTCAATACGACACAATGGAGAAAAAGGATTCATGTAGCTGACCCCACTTAGTGGAATAAAGGTTTGTTGTTGTTGAATCAAATTTTATATATCAATTAATTCTAATGGCTAAATGATGATGACGATGATGATTGATGATGATGTTGATGATGAAGAAATAAATATTCGAATTGACTAACGTTGATTTATATTGAGTCGATGTCAGTCAGTTCATGAGGGGGACAAATCCCCTGTGATAAACTTGTAGGGCGGTCAAGTGAGAGAAAAATAGAGGAGATTTGGTTCGATTGCGAGAGAAAGGCTCCAACCTTGTGCGTGAAGTGGGCGGGGACAAAAACAGAGGGCGATTGAATGTATTAGGGCTCGAGCTGACCGCGAGCTGGATTAGGGGATGACAAAGACCGGTTGTATTTGTGAGCATATAATAGGAGCTAAATACAAGTCGATCATGAGAAGGTACTGAGATCAAGAGCTATAATTGGTGCTTGCAAGTGAGAATCGAGTGTGGCAATTGCTAGCCCAAGAGAGAGGTGAATGAGATCCCGGGAGTGTGCTTAATTTAACGATTGGATTGGTCTTGTAAAGCAAGGTTATTATTTTTATTTTTGAGAAATTTTTTAGATAGTATGTTAGTTAGTATGTTTAATAAAATAGGCATTAAATTTTAAAAGATTTATATAGAGGAGAAATACGATTGGAGAAAATTTTTGAAAATATTAATGTGAATACTGAATTGCTGTATAAAATGTTTAATTTTAAATAAGAAATTAACGGAAACGATGATTAAAAACTAAATAACAAGGTAAATACTTTTTGATAGTGATATAGTGAATAGTAATTTAATATATATATATAAAGAATGATAGTTAATCTAATTAAAATGATATTTCAAGTATTTAACAAAAGATTTGTTAGTCATGGTCCTGGGTTATGAAACTGAGTGAGGATATTTAGTTAACTAAGTATGATTCATATCCTTATTAGAAAAAAAACATACTTAATGATGAGAGCAAAATAGATTAAAGAGAAACTTTGTCGTACCAAGACATCAAACTCTCTTGTGGGTTACTATTCACTTCCCCCTGTTAAAAATATGACATGAATTTTGCTTGGAAAGTTATGTGAGTCATTTGATCAGTCAGTTCATGAAAGTTATGTCTCAATGCAATGTTAGTAGTGAATTGATTTCTTTTTCTTCTCTGTTCTTAGCAATCAATTTAGTCCTTTATATTTTATTGTAGTTTCTTTCTTGGAAAAAACCATCC